AGCTACTGGGCTGAGTCATGGTTCTGAGAACACTCCTCCCAGCACATGGTAGAAACACACCTGGTCAAAAGGTACAGCTCTTCTCTCTGTGGTCAGGCAGTGAGTCCCGTTTTTCATCTCTGTGCTTCCTGCCTCGAGAATTGTCCAGACCCTGGGCCAGACTTGCCTTGCAAGGGTTACTACTGAGACCCTGGAACGATTTCTAAAAATCCCCGTACCAGCACAGAAACAAAAACAAAACAACATGAAAAAAAAGAGAAACCACTCTGACAGCTTCTTTTCCAATTCAATATATTGACATTATTTGCCCTATTAATAGCACCAGGCCAGGCCTGGTCACTGACCTGCCGATTGTCCAGCCATAGCACTGGGAGGTTTTCAAAGCGTATTTTTTACAGCTTTGTATGTCAACACTACAAAAAAGTGGAAGTGCTGCTTGTAATTCCACCTTTGATTTACTTTTAATCTCAAACACTTTCATATTTGCTGGGTGGAAGCCTTCCTAGTTTTTCTTCGTGCTGTATGTTTTTAGTTATATTTCTAAGGCACACACAGTTCTGAACTGCTTCCTTCACTGTTCTAGCGTCACCACTTATGTAGATTTCGTCATTGTCAATCATAATTCTCATTGCAATGTCGTCCTAATATCCAATCAAGTGGATATGCCAGAATGTATTTAACTTTTTCCCCTCTTGTTGAACATTTGGATACTTTAAAAACATTTTTAATAATTAAGATATTAGGCTGGACGAGGTAGCTCATGCCTGTAATCCCAGTATTTTGGGAGGCTGAGGCAGGATGATCACTTGCGTCCTGGAGTTTGAGACCAGCCTGGACAACATGGAGAGAACCTGTCTCTAAAAAAAATACAGAAATTAGCTGGGTCCCAGCTTCCTGGGAGGCTGAGGTGGCGGGATCACTTGAGCCTGGGAGGTTGAGGCTGCAGTGAGCTGTGATTGCACCACTGTACTCCAGCCTGGGCAGCAGAGCAAGACCCTGTCTCAAAATAAAATAAAAGTATTGTTATGATAAACCTTGGTAGATTTTTTTTTTTTTTTTGAGACAGAGTCTTGCTCTTGTTGCCTAGGCTGGAGTACAATGGCACGATCTCCGCTCACTGCAACCTCTGCCTCCTGGGTTCAAGCAATTCTCCTGCCTCAGCCTCCCCAGTAGCTGGGATTACAGGCTCCTGCCACCACACCCGGCTCATTTTTGCATCTTTAGTAGAGGTGGGGTGTCAGCACGTTGGCCAGACTGGTCTGGAACTCCTGACCTCAGGTGATCCACCTGCCTCAGCCTCCCAAAGTGCTGGAATTACAGGCATGAGCCACCGCTCCTGGCCTTGGTAGAGATTTATGATTCTCCATAGTCAGGATTATTTCCTAAGCATAGGTTCCAGAAATGAAAGCCCTGGGTCAAAGAGCAGAATCTTTTTATGACTCTTGATTCATAATGTGAGACCTTTGGACTAGATGACCTCTAAGGCCCCTCCAGTTCCCACCTGCTGTAATTCAGCAGCTCTGAGTCTTGAATGTCTGAATTTGCTCTAACTGAAAGGCACTGCTGCTTGGCTTTCTTGCTTAGAAGATGTCTCCCATGCTGGTTTGCGCGTCTCTCCGAGAGCAGGCCTGGTTTCCGCAGCTCGAGCACTCTCCTTTAGTGCCTGGGACGCTTGTCCCTGGTTACGCATACCCCACATGACTGGCTTGTTGTCCCAACCTATGTCTCACTTTTCCCTTCTAACAACTGTACCTGGTGCTGTGGGAGACACAGAAAATCAAGAAGAAACGGTTGCCAAGTTGACATTCTTTCTGTCACGACCTTAACTTACTGAAAGAGCAGCAGCAAACCAAAGTACCCAGTGACCGCATTAAACCCCAGCTCGCAAATGACCCCAACTGGGCCTCAAAAAACAGGACTGAACGCGGAAGGGATGGGATTTTGTGGATTTTTTTATACTGTCAGGCTAAGCAAAAACAATCAGTAGGTTCAGGGGCACTGTCTGAGGCCCCTTTGGGTAGGAAAGAATCAAGTTTGGTTCCCATGTAGAGCATCCTACCCCTCCCCAGCCCCAATTACATGGGTCACGTCCTTTGCATCCAGTTTTCTCAGTTTGTATGTGGCTGTGCCAACCAATTAGTCATAAACAGCCCTGGGGGAGCCGGAAGCCCTTAACGAAGCCTGACCTGGTTCCGTCCTGTTTTCTCAAACATGCTGGAAGCTCAATTGTCCTTTTCTGCTAATGACTCTCTGATGAGTTCCTGCTCTTTTTCTGGCCCCCTAGTCCCTGGAGCCACAGGACCATTTCAGTGGCTTGGGTCTCTTCACTGTCACGGGACTGAACTGGGTGCTGCCCTCTGGGGCCTGGCTGATGGCCCCTGTCCTAGCGTGAAGGTGATGAGAGCCCTGTGCATTTGGTGTAATTTGTCTGTTGGGCTTATGCATCCCCCACAGAGCTGTGAGCCAAAGCCAGGCTGTGGAGGCGAGGGGTCTAGAGACTGCTACAGTCCCATGCAGCCAAAGCTCTGCCTCTTGTGAGAGGCTCTGAGCCCTCTCCCCTCGCCTCTCACTTGGGGACAAGAACTTTGGCCTTACCTGGCTGCCTCAAAGGGGTGCTGTGGCGATGAGAAGAGGCGACATACATGGACTCCCTTCGTAGACCGTAGCACACGCTCTTCACCCTGGATAAAATGCCCTTTCACCGGGAATGTGCCAGGGATAGAGCCTTGTTGTGACCTGGAGGGTGGAGAGTGCTCAGTGTAGAAAACAGGGCTGGTAAGGACGGGGGCATGTGCCCCTGTCTCTCCCCTGCCACCATCAATCATCCATCCCATTGAGCCCGGGGCTCCAGACTGCCACCACCAATTGATTAGCGTTAATTAGTGTGAGGGAGGAAGCTTTGCTGCCATCCCTAATGTGACATGTTACCGTCAAGCGGACTGAGTATAGCCACAGTGATTTGTATAACTTCCCTCCTTTGAGGTAGTGGTCCTCAGCCCCAGTTTTCTGGTTACATGAGTGACATCCACTCATTTTCAATAGCAATTTCGGCTGACTTTTACAATTCAGCTTTATCTTAACTAGAACAACTCAGTTAAACCAAAATGGACATTTATGGCCAGGCACAGTGGCTCACGCCTGTAATCCCAGCACTTTGGGAAGCCAAGGCGTGTGGATTACCTGAGGTCAGGGATTCAAGACCAGCCTGGCCAACATGGTAAAACCCTGTCTCTACTAAATATACAAAAAAAAAAAAAAAAAAAAAAAATTAGCCAGGCGTGGTGGCACTTGCCTGTAATCCCAGCTACTCAGAAGGCTGAGGCAGGAGAATCACTTGAACCCAGGAGGTGGAGGTTACAGTGAGCTGAGATTGTGCCACAGCACTCCAGTGACAGAGTGAGACTCTGTCTAAAAAAAAAAAAACAACAGAATTTAAAGGACTAGATTTTAGAGATTACTTTTGGAAACTGAATTTAGTTCTGAGCTTCCTACCAGCCAATAAACAAAGAGAAATGGGTTTGGCTATATCTGTTGTCATCGTTGGATGAAAGAAAGCTTCCATGTTGAGGAACCTATGACTCAAACTCTAGCTGGCCTTTTTCCGTGGAGAGGAATGGAGCTCTGGTGAAGGCCCTGACCTGGGAATTGGAAACTCTAGATCCTTCTTAGCTTCTGCCTCTCCCCTGTCTCATCAGAATAATGGGGGGATCATTTCCTCCTCAGAGTCTGCCCTTCGGAGGAGCAACTGCACACCTTCTCAGCCCTCATTCCATTCCCCTTCCCCAAGTCCCTCCCTTGTCCTCTGCTAGACGAGGGGTCAGATAGGGAGCCTTTGGGAATCCCTAGAGTCAGGAATGCAGCTTGTTGAGGAATGGAGGGGGGTTTCGGCCTCCCCTGGAGGGCAGGGGCCCCAGCAGCCCACCTTGGCGGCTGGTGTCTGTTCCAGGTGGACAGGTTCCTGTATCACATGCGGCTCTCCGATGACACGCTTTTGGACATCATGAGGCGGTTCCAGGCTGAGATGGAGAAGGGCCTGGCAAAGGACACAAACCCCACGGCCGCAGTGAAGATGCTGCCCACCTTCGTCAGGGCCATTCCCGACGGCTCAGGTGAGTGAGCCAGGCTCCCTGGCTCCTCTTGGCTGATATGTGTTTAAAGTACCTAAGGTTTGCCCCTGGACCTTGGCTTCTGTCTCTAGCCCTCTCTGTGCCATCCCTCCCTCGTGCCCCTCTGTGCTCCAGTCCTGCTGAACCCCTCTTGGAGCTCCGGGCACCTTGGCTTCTCTGCCCATCGTGGCCTCACACGTCTGCTCCCTTTCCTCCCGGAGCATCTCCGTGTTCTTCCCTGGTGAGTATCAACGTGGCTTTTCCACCTCAGTGTAGAGGTCCCTGCCTCCATCTAGGAAGTATCCCCATGCTGGGCTGGGTGCTTGTCAGGGCATTTGTCACTCTGCTGTGTCCCCACTGAGTCTCTACCAAATTAACCCTTCCATGGGTCCGAGATCTCACTCACCGCAGTGTTCCCAGCACCGGATGTAGCGCTGGGTGCACGCCAGGCCCTGACACCGTCGAATGAGTAATAAATGGTGCTCACTCCTAGGTATCTAGGTTCTAGGAAACAGAGTGTGAGTCATGGAAGCAAGCATGATGTAGTAGAAATCATACTCAATGATAATTCAACAAACCTGGGTCTGAGGCCCAGCTCCGTCACTCTGTGACCCAAGGCCAGTGTTTAGCTTCAGTTTCCCCATCTGTGGAATGAGAATTGGCCCATGTATCTGTTTCCTACAGCTGCTGTGTTGTATCACCACAAACACAGTGGCTGAAAACAATTCGAATCTATTCTCCGACAGTTCTGGTGGACGGAAGTTTGAAACGGGTCTCACTGTGCTAAAATTCAGGTGTCGGCATGGCTGCGTTCCTTCTGGAAGTTCCAGGGGAGAATCTGTTTCCCTGACTTTTCCAATTTCGAGAGGCCACCTGCACCCTCAAGGCATGCCCCTTTCTGTTCTCAAAGCCGGCAGTATAGCCTCTTCAGGTCCCTCTCTGACCTGACCTTGTGCCTCTCTTCATTTAAAGATCCTGTGATCACATTAGTCATGCATAGATAATTAGATAATCCAGGATAATCTCCCAACTTCAAGGTCAGCTGATGAACAATTTTGATCTCATCTGCAAACTTAATTCCCCTTTGCCTTGCACCCTCACATATTCACAGGATCTGGGGACTAGGATGTGGGAGTCTTATTTTGCCTGCAACGGCCTAGAACTCTCTAGAGAGGATCTATTGGGTCCCATCTAACTCTTCCATTCTTAGCCTCTGGATGAAGCCATAAGAGAGAAAGGGCTGCTATAGGCCGGCACAGTGGCTCACGTCTGTAATCTCAGCACTTTGGGAGGCCGAGGAGGGCAGATCACTTGAGGTCAGAAGTTCGAGACTAGCCTTGCCAACATGGTGAAATCCCACCTCTACTAAAAATACAAAAATTAGCCAGGCATGGTGGCACGCACCAGCAATCCAAGCTACTACGAAGGCTGAGGCAGGAGAGTCGCTGGAACCCGGGAGGTGGAAGTTGCACTGAGCTGAGTTCGCGCCACTGCACTCCAGCCTGGGCAACAGAGCAAGACTTCCTTTCAAAAAAAAAGAGAGAGAGAGGGAAAAGAAAAAACAGGAAAGAAAAAAGAGGGAAAAAGGCTATCATTTACTAAGCAACCACTGTGGTCATGGGGTGCTAGGGACTCATTGAGCCACATATTTCCTGTGACAAACCCTGTGGTGTGGCTGTTGTCACCAAGTCAGACAGAACCACCAAGGACCAAGGGGTTTCTCCCAGGTCAGGGTCCCGGTGCTCAAACCAAGCCGTGAAGGAGGCTTGGGGCTCTTGAGGGAGCAGGGACTGAGGTTTGGGAGCTCGCAGGGGGCTTTGATGGGATTAGCCGGGTTTCGGCCCTCTCTGGAGCAATGCCTGAACCGAGGTGGGCTCTGCTGGCTGTGAGGACCTGGGATACTGCACCGAAAGGCCCTGTGCCCTCACTTGCGGGTAGGTGCTTGCGGTGGACAGTGAGCCGCCCTAGAGAGATGTGAGCTTTGGAGACAGACAACCCGACTTTGAAACCTTGGCCCTGTCCCTGACACAGCCTGACGAGAGTGCCGGGACGGGTTGTTGACAGGGCATCCAGTGCCCTTGGGAGGAAGCACCTGTGTCATGTGGGCGGGCCAGCATGAGGAGCACCAGGGCCAAGTCCACCTGGCTTCCTGGACTGCGGCCCCTCCTCCAGATACAGACAAGGTGTGTCCCCAGAAGCAAGGGAAGGTGGCCTTTGATGGTGTGGAGGCTCCTAAGTTAAGTTCAGAAGTGAACCTGACTAAGTCATAGAAATTCCTCCTTAGCTGGGAAGAGCCCAGCTCCCCATCCCTGGCTCCGCAGAGCCTCCCACCACACTAAGCATCTCACCAGTGATTCTGTTGTGGTGACATCCGCGGTCCCAGAGTCCCTAATAAACCAGGCGCTCTTGGTAAATCCCAGCACCACACATGATTGTCAGCATTCAATGAGATTACGTGGATGGCGTGCTTTAAAATCTCGAAAATCTTGTCCCAAGTCCTCCATAGTGCTTGTGAGCTGGTGGTATAATTTCGCGATTACCAACGAAAAACAAACAAAACTCTCCTAATTCCTTCTGGCATCCGTTTCAGACATGTATGTCGTTTCCAGAGAAGTCCTGAGTTTGCCTACTCCCATCAGAACCTACCTGTGAGGAAGTTACCTGTTTGAGCCTTAGTTACCTCCCAGCCTTTTGAAGTAAAGCGGGGTGGGCTGTGGTAGTCTGTTCTGACTTAGGATCAAGCGCCTTGAAAGTGCTGTGTTGACACTGGAGCCTTCTCTGCCAGTCTTGGAAGGGACACGGGAAGCATGAGGGTGATGGTGATTCTTTGGCCTGATCCCTGCTGGCTCTGTTCCAGGCCTTAGCCTCCAGTCAGCCTCCAAGGCCAATTAGGCTTTGGGGGTGAGCCCGGGAGCCCCAAGGTCGTCAGTCTGGGAGTCCTGAAGTCGTCAGCCCTGGGCCGGGGACAAGTCCTGGGGTCTCATACCAGGACAGGGTCCCATTCTTTCCTGAGTAGAGGATTCACCTGGAGTGTGTCCTAACACATACTTACCCAGCCTCTCCCTGGGGACTCTGAATCTCCAGGAATCTCCCCATTCAGCCACTGTGTGCCTTTGGGAGACTCTGCACTGGGGAACGGGCGGGGGTGAAGGCACAAGCCCCAGGAGTGACTTAGGAGAAGGAAACCCTTGGTGTCTTAGGCAGGTCATGGAGGATCCTCTGCAGCAGGCGGATTGGCCAAACGAGTCTACCCCGCTTAGGACGCTGTTTTCATTTCCTTTCTTTTTAGAAACAAGGTCTCCCTCTGTTGCTCAACCTGGAGTGCAGTGGAGCCATCATAGGTCACTGCAGCCTTGACCTCCTTAGGCTCAAGCGATCCTCCTGCTTCAGCCCCCCAAGTAGCTGGAACTACAGGTGCATGCCACTGCACCCAGCTGATTTTTTGTCTCTTGTTTTGTAGAGACAGGGTTTTACTATGTTCACCAGGTTGGTCTTGAACTCTTGGCCTCAAGGGATTCTCCTTCCTGGGCCACCCAAAGTGCTGGGATTACAGTGCCCAGCTGGGGCTGTTTTCTTGATGTCTGTAAAGACCCTGCGGCTCCACAGGCCACTGTATCCTGGGCAGGCCCTCCCTCCCCCAGGGTCCACTGGGTCCTGTTTTCTAGGATCAGAGACACAGAAGGGATCACACCATGTGGCTTCCATGAAATGGTACCTCGAGCCACTGGTGGAGTGAGGTGTTTGATAGCAGTCATGGTGCGGGTCCTGGGAGGGGGGATTTCCCGCACCAACTCTGGCCAGGTCTCAACAGATTCCCCTCCCGTCCAATGGCAGCACAGCAGCCCCTTCTTTTGTTAAACCCTCAGTCTATTCTGGTTGGTGTCAGAGGCATTTGTCCCCAAAATCTCAATTAGATCTTGGCACTCCCTTGCTTAAAATCTTTCTGTGGCTCCCTCTCACCTTCCAGATAAAGCCCAAGCTCCTTGGGGTGGGATACCTTTTCCAAATCCTTCCAAATTTAACCTGAGACCATCTTCCAACCTCATTTCTGTGACAGCTGCCCTCCTTCGGCAAAAGCACACTCACTCCCATCGGATGCTGTCTCATTCCTTTGCCCGGGGTTCCTCTCCCTATGACCCCCATGCCCCTCAGCCTGACTCCTGCTCACCCTTCAGCACTCAGTTCTGTGTCCCCTCCCTGGAAAGCCAGTTGCCTTTGATTCCCAGCTTTGATCTGGATATCTCTCCCTGTGCCTCTCACAATCTGAGCACTGGTCCTACCATATGGAAATGGCTGGTTTATGTGCCTGTATTTTGGATCAGTTTCCCAGGAGGCACACTATCCTTCATCTGTGCATCCCTAGCACCTGACACATGTTACTTGGCACAGAGTAGATGCTCAGTAAATGTGTGGACATGGATTGTGTGATCTGCCCACTTCCTACACAGCAAGACAGCGTCTGGGAGAACCCTCTTGCCTGGTGCATAATAAGTGCTAATGAAAGGTGGCCGGGTGCGGTGGCTCAAGCCTGTAATCCCAGCACTTTGGGAGGCCAAGGCGGGTGGATCACGAGGTCAAGAGATCGAGACCATCCTGGTCAACATGGTGAAACCCTGTCCCTACTAAAAATACAAAAAATTAGCTGGGCATGGTGGTGCGTGCCTGTAATCCCAGCTACTCAGGAGGCTGAGGCAGGAGAATCGCCTGAATCCAGGAGGCGGAGGTTGCGGTGAGCCGAGATCGCGCCATTGCACTCCAACCTGGGTAACATGAGTGAAACTCTGTCTCAAAAAAAAAGAAAAAGAAAAAAGAAAGTTGCATGGGATTAACTCCCTGAATTCCCTCACCAAATACTAAACGCCTCCATCAGCTGCTCTGCGGCTGATCTGGGAAGGTAGGAAACTCCAAATATCTCCAAAAAATGAAGATTGAGCTGGCTGCACTTGTACTACTGTAACTATGGTCTGTTGACCAGCAACAGCAGCAGCATCACCGTGTTGGCCAGGCTGCTCTTGAACTCCTGACCCCAGATGATCCTCCCGCCTCGGCCTCCCAAAGTGCTGGGATTACAGGCAGGAGCCACTGCACCTGGCCTAATTTTTATATTTTTAGTAGAGACAGGGTTTTGCCATGTTGGCCAGGATGGTCTTGAACACCTGATCCCAGGTGATCTGCCCACCTTGGCCTCCCAAAATGCTGGGATTACAGGTGTGAGCCACCGCGCCTGGCCCCCACCTTTTAATTAATAGCATCTTTCTTGGTCTGAGTTGGGTTGTGTTCCAATTTCTCCTTTTGGAGTGGCTCTGGCCTAAAAAATTCAGCATCCTGGGCACCTCAAGGGCCGTTGTTTGGCCCCTGTCTCCTCTATCCTCCAGGAGTGCTTTCCCTCTGCCCACTGAATCATCAGCTGCAAGAGGCTGGCTGCTCCTCCCTGCACACTGTCTTCCCCCTCACGCCTTTATCCGAGTTTCCCCGGGCTGGGAGTACCAGCTCTGGCTTCTAGGCGATGGCATCCCAGGATGGGGTCCACCCTCAAGGCCAACTCTCATACCACCTGCAAGGAGTGTGCTCACATTGGCCTTCTCCAGATGAAATGCGCATTCCCACAGCAGGAGCCAGCGGGTTGGGTTCAGGCTGCAGAGTCGGGCAGACTTAGTTCATATCTCAGCTCTGCGCCTTATCTCGAGGGCCCTGAGAAATGGCCATAGTCCTCAGCCTTGGCAAATGGGCATAATGATTTCTAGTGGTTGTAAGATTTGATGACATTGATTTATGTCCAGCCTCTAATGCAGAGCTTGCCATATCTGTAGTAGACCCTCAATACATGGAAACTGAATTTGTTTCTTAATAGAAAAGGGGGAGTTCCTTTCCTTGGATCTTGGAGGGTCCAAGTTTCGAGTGCTGAAGGTTCAAGTCGCTGAAGAGGGGAAGCGGCACGTGCAGATGGAGAGTCAGTTCTACCCAACGCCCAGTGAAGTCATCCGTGGGAATGGCACAGAGGTACTGGGCAGGTGGCTCCCGCAAAGGCAGGGAAGGCGGTGGCATCTGTGTGTGGAAAACCACACCTTAGCCCATGTCCTTTGCTTTCTCCTCTCTGCAGCTGTTTGAATATGTAGCTGACTGTCTGGCAGATTTCATGAAGACCAAAGATTTAAAGCATAAGAAATTGCCCCTTGGCTTAACTTTTTCTTTCCCCTGCCGACAGACGAAATTGGAAGAGGTAAGGCCAGAGCCCGTGGAGGGAAGTGGCTGTGCAGGAATCGGGGCTTGAGGAACGTGGGCCTGGGCGGGAGTCAGCCTGCGAGCAGGAGAGAACGGCAGGAGTTTCTTGTGTTTCTTTTTGTTAATGATGAGGTGGCAGTGTGAGGCAGAGAGCTGGTTAACGCAGTGGCCTTGATTTTACGATTCATGTGGGCACAGCTCCAGGGAGTGGAATGCTTTTCAGCAGTTCTCAAACCTTGGTGTGTGGAATTCCCTGGAGAGCTTGTTTTAAGCACAGATTGCTGGGCCCGCCAGAATCAGTGGTTCTGCAAGGAGGCCCTAAATTTTCCCAGGAGATGTGCTCAGGCTTGCACTTAAAACCACTGACATAGCCAACTAGAAGAAGCTTGGGAAGGCTGGGAAGTCTCTCCCTGTATGAGCCCTTGGAAGGACAATTAAAGTGGGGCCACCGGAGTGAGAATGTCCTGGAGCAGACACAGAGCGTGGGAGTCATAGTCTCGGCTGTGCTAACAGCCAGGCCGGGGTTCCTGGTAACTCATCTCTGTGTATCTCAGTTCTCTTTTTTCTCTTTTTTTGAGGCGGAGTCTTGCTTTGTCGCCAGGCTGGAGTGCAGTGGCCTGATCTCCGTTCACTGCAACCTCCGCCTCCCAGGTTCAAGTGATTCTCCTGCCTCAGCCTCCTGAGTAGCTGGGACTACAGGTGCGTGCCACCATACCCAGCTATTTTTTTTTTTCCTTTTTGTATTTTAGTAGAGACAGGGTTTCACCATGTTGGCCAGGATGATCTTGATCTCCTGACCTCGTGATCTGCCCGCCTGGGCCTCCCAGACTGCTGGGATTACAGGCGTGAGCCACTGCGCCCGGCTGGCGGGTCTCAGTTTTCATTGTTTTCATTCTGTAAGCAGGAGGAAGCTAACACGATCTTGTGTGAATAAAGACAGGAAATAAGGGGGCGTTCTGGGGCCGGGTTAGGGTATTGACTGTCTCCCTGGGCCACTCCTATCTGGGAGTGGGGCCCCTGATCAATCTCCTACTGCCCCTTCCGGTCATGATGCCCAGTTGACAGTCACATGGTCCTCCTTGGGATGTGCTTGATATTGTTGGTTTGAGTTACTTATTGGTGTGGAATAGTGAAAGGAATGAGCTTTCATGTTCCACACACACGGCTTTGAATCATGGTTCAGGACAAATTGTGTCCCCTTAGACCAGTTCCTTAATTTCATGAGACTCTCGTTTTCTCTTTGAAAATGTTTTATTTATTTTTATTTTTTTCTTTGTAGAGGTGAGGTCTCACTATATTGCCCAGGCTGGTCTCAAACTCCTGGGGATAAGTGATCTGCCTCCGCCTCCCAAAGGGTTGGTATTACAGGTGTGAGCCACTGTGCCCAGCCTTGCTTTCTCATTTGTAAAGCAAGGATAATATCTGCTCAAGGCCGGGCGTGGTGGCTCATGCCTGTAATCCTAGATTTTGGGAGGCTGAGGGTGGATCACCTGAGGTCCAGAGTTCGAGACCAGCCTGACCAACATGGAGAAACCCCATCTCTACTAAAAATACAAAATTAGCTGGGCATGGTGGTGCATGCCTGTAATCCCAACTAATTGGGAGGCTGAGGCAGGAGAATTGCTTGAACCCTGGAGGCAGAGGTTGCAGTGAGCTGAGATTGTGCCATTGTACTCCAGCCTGGGTAACAAGAGCGAAACTCTGTCTCCAAAAAAAAGTAATAATAATAATATCTGCTTGTTGGGCTGAGGTGAAGCTTAGGCAAAGCATTTGTAAAGCGCCCAATACTGTTCTTGGTCCATACACAGTAGCTGCTAGGCTGTGATTGATGACTGTCCCTGGATTACTTGTCTCTTTGCGCTTTTGTACCTTATCCCTAAATTTGACAGAGGTTTTTGGAGGGCAAGCAGTGCCTGCCGAGGGCACAGATCTTCCCACCAAGGTCTCCCACAGTGTGTATTTAATAGGTGCTTGATAGCTGTCTCACAGATGAAAGGTGTCAATCATTTATTTGATTCCATTATGGGAGTTTGCCTTCATCTACACAGGGGACAGGCTGAGTTTTATTTTTTCATTTTTTTTAATAAAGAAAGCATTGAGAAAAATAATATAAAGAAGGTTCCAGGGGCCTGGCATGGTGGCTCATGCCTATAATCCCAGCAGTCTGGGAGGCTGAGGTGGGAGAATTGCTTGAGCCCAAGATGTCCAGCCACAAAGCGAGACTCCATCTCTACACTTGGAAGTTAGACTTCATCTCTAAAACAAGCACCTGGGTGCAGTGGCTTATGCCTGTAATCCCAGCACTTTGGGAGGCTAAGGCGGGTGGATCACCTCACATCAGGAGTTCAAGACCAGCCTGGCCAACATGCTGAAACCCTGTTTCTATTAAAAATACAAAAACAGCTGGGCATGGTGGCGCACACCTGTAAACCCAGCTACTTGGGAGGCTGAGGCAGGAGAATCTCTTGAACCCAGGAGGTGGAAGGTTGTGGTGAGCTGAGATCATGCCGCTACACTCCAGTCTGGGCGACAGCATGAGACTCTGTCTGAAAAACAAACAAACAAGGCCGGGCGCAGTGGCTTATGCCTGTAATCCCAGCACTTTGGGAGGCCAAAGCGGGCAGATCACCTGAGGTCGGGAGTTTGAGACCAGCCTGACCAACGTGGAGAAACCCCGTCTCTACTAAAAATAACAAAAATTAGCTGGGCATGGTGATGCATGCCTGTAATCCCAGCTACTCGGGAGGCTGAGGCAGGAGAATCACTTGAATCCGAGAGGCAGAGGTTGTGGTGAGCCGAGATCGCTTCATTGCCCTCCAGCCTGGGTAACAAGAGCGAAACTCCGTCTCAAAACAAACAAACAAACAAACAAAAAACAAGCAAACAAAAGAAAAAGTTTCCAGGGAGTGTTTTGGTGAGACCAAGTGGAGCTGGCTGGCAGAGAGAGGTCCCAGGAGAGAGTAGATGTGTGTGTCAGGGGGTTGGGCCACACACATGCTTTCCTGATAGCTTGGCGGTGGAGGGGGTGAATGTATGGTTTATCCATCCAGGATTTTGTCAGTTATCTATGTGGAATACCCACCAGTGTTTTTCTCAATAATAACAATGATAGAAGAACATACCTCAGGTTTTGACATTGTGCCTCGAACTGTGACAAATGCTGTATGTGTATTATCTTGTTAAATTCCCCCCAAAATTCTATGACATTGATAGCTTTATCTTCATTCTATATTTGAGAAAAACTGCAGCTCTGTGAAGTTAAGAGACTTGCACAAGGTCACACAACCAAGAATAGCCCAGCCCAAGCTCATAAGCTCCCAACCGCAGTGACTTTCCAGAAAGACCCCACTTTAGAACCTTGTTTAAAATGTCAGGAGGTACCTGAAGGTATTTGGATCCTTTTTTTTTTTTTTTTTTGATACAGAGTCTTGCTCTGTTGCCCAGGCTGGAATGCAGTGGCACAATCTTGGCTCACTGCAACCTCCGTCTCCCAGGTTCAAACAATTCTCCTGCCTCAGCCTCCCGAGTAGCTGGGATTACAGGCGTGTGCCACCACGCCTGGATAATTTTTGTATTTTTAGTAGAGACAGGGTTTCACCATGTTGGGCAGGCTGGTCTTGAACTCCTGACTTCAGGTGATCTCCCCTCCTCAGCCTCCCAAAGTGCTGAGATTGCAGATGTGAGCCACCAAACCCGGCCCATTTTGACCCATTTAGTGTCATAGCACAATAAAGATTTTTCAGGTAAAATTTAAACTAAGGAAGGGCATTTAATTATATCAAAGAAGAGAAAAATGTTTTTTTTCTTATCACAATCTAGTTAAATATATTTTATAAAAACTTCCTCCCTGCCTGTAATCCCAGCACTTTGGGAGGCTGAGGTGGGCAGATCACGAGGTCAAGAGATTGAGACCATCCTGGCCAACACGGTGAAACCTCATCTCTATTAAAAATACAGAAAAATTAGCCAGGCGTGGTGGCATGCGCCTGTGGTCCCAGCTACTCCGGAGGCTGAGGTGGAAGAATCGCTTGAACCCAGGAGGCAGAGGTTGCAGTGAGCTGAGATTGTGCTGCTGCACTCTAGCCTGGTCACAGAGCAAGACTCTGTCTGAAAAAAAAAAAAAAAATCAAAAATGAAACCAAAAAAAAATTCCTCCCAAACTTCCTTTCAATAAAATCTAAAGTTAAGTAGAAAACTTCCAACCATGGCCGGGTGTGGTGACTCACGCCTGTAATCCCAGCACTTTGGGAGGCAGAGGCAGGGGTGGATCAGCTGAGGTCAGGAGTTCGAGACCAACTTGACCAACATGGAGAAACCCCGTCTCTACTAAAAATACAAAAATTAGCCGGGCATAGTGGTGCATGCCTGTAATCCCAGCTACTCGGGAGGCTGAGGCAGGAGACTTGCCTGAACCTGGGAGGCAGAGGTTGTGGTGAGCTGAGATTGCATCATTGCACTTTAGCCTGGGCAACAAGAGTGAAACTCCATCTCAAAAAAGAAAAGTTCCAACCACAAGAAAACTCATTCCTGATAATACCTGAATGTGGGCCCGTGCTGCAAAGCTATTTAACTCCTGCTCTACTGCAGGAGTGGGTTCTGTGACACTAGAATAAGGGTTCCTGGGGAAGATGGGCCCTGTGCAGCTCCGAGACTGCAGAGGCATGGAAAGGGGAAGCCTGTGTGAGGAGGTGTGATTCTGGAGCTTCTTTGAGAAACTGAAAATGATTAAAGAAGGTAGGAGCGTGAGACTTATTATTATGTTTAACTCATAGCCAACATCATAAGAGCATGAGAATTAAAAGGAAGAATTCACTTTTTTTTTTTTTAAAGACGATTTTTCACCATGTTGGTCAGGCTGATCTTGAACTCCCGACCTCAGGTGATCTGCCTGCCTTGACCTCCAAAGTGCTTGGATTACAGGGGTGAGCCACCACACCCGGCCTGTTCTTGTTTTTGAGGGAACAGAAAGTCTGAACCAAAGAGAGATTTCTTTACGTGTGTGTGTGTGTGTGTGTGTTTTCTGATAATAAAGTAAATGGTAATACTTTTTCAAGATTAAAAAAAAAAAGAAGGAATGGAAAAGTTTAAAGAAGAAAATAGAAATCACCTCTAATCTCAACATTCAGATATTCCCACCACTAGAATTGTGGACTTTCCTTTCACTCATATCTATATTAAATACAAGTGTTATCCTGTATCTATAGTTTGACAAATTTATAGTTTATTCTAGTCACCAAATAGTTGAGAAAGAAGAAAATGTACAGTTGTATGTAATTGCCTTTTTAATTTAACATTCTATCAAGAACATTTATCTCTCACTTCCCCATCCACCTTCCCTGCAACACATATCCCTGGCACCTTTTTTTGAAGAAAGCCACAGTGTACATCTCTCCCTGCTCTGTCCTGGGAGACGGGGATGTTGCCATAGCCTGTGAAGACAGAAGCTAAGGAGAGCTGCCACACGGCGGCGCTGTGGTGCAGGGGAAAAGCCTGACGGCTGGTCTAGAGTCAGAGACCTGCATTCTGCTTGGGCTCTGTCCTTCACTCGCGGTGAGACTCAGAGCAATTTCCTCCCTCTGGCAATCTCAGGGTTTTTTTCGCTCCCGGTGAGACTCAGAGCAATTTCCTCCCTCTGGCAATCTCAGGGTTTTTTTTTTAATCCATAAATTGAGGAGAATGGAGGAGATGCGGTCAGGAAGTTTGTGAGCTTGGGTCAGCTGCTCTTGACTGAGAGGACTTGGTCGATTCTCGTAACTTCCAAGTTATCTTCCAGTCTGAAAATTTTTTTTTCCCTTTTTTTTGAGACGGAGTTTTGCTCTTGTTGCCCAGGCTGGAGTGCAATGGTGTGATCTCGGCTCACTGCAACCTCTGCCTCCCGGGTTCAGGCAATTCTCCTGCCTCAGCCTCCAGAGTAGCTGGGATGACGGGCATGCGCCACCACGCCCGGCTAATTTTGTATTTTTAGTAGAGACGGGGTTTCTCCATGTTGATCAGGCTGGTTTTGAACCCCCAATCTCAGGTGACCCACCTGCCTCAACCTCCCAAAGTGCTGGAATTACAGGCATGAGCCACTGCACCTGGCCCCAATCTGAAAAATTCTGTGATTATTTGCGATTTCAGACACAAAACTCAGGAAACACTACTTGTAAACAATGATAGATAATGCAAATTGAGAACCATTTTTCTTTCTTTCTCTTTATTAAAAGACGGGGTCTCGCTATGTTGCCCAGGCTGTCCTGGAACTCCTGGCCTCAAGCGATCCACCTGCCTCAGCCTCCCAAGTAGCTGGGGCTACAGGCGCAGGCCACTGTGCTGGGTTGAGAATCATTTTTCTAAGTTGAAATTCAGATCCTGAGACAGTCCTGCAAGGTTACACCATGGTAGTTCTGCTTTGTGGATCTGGCAAACCACGCATGTGGCATGTATAATACACCAGGTATTTTGTCTTTTCTTTTCTCTTTTCTTTTCTTTTTTTTCTTTTCTTTCTTTCTTTCTTTCTTTCTTTCTTTCTTTCTTTCTTTCTTT